AGGCAATAAGTATGGTATTTTTTTTTCAGGGACAACACAGGCAGCTACAGGTGAGCAAAAACCTGTGGCTTTTATGTGAATGCCCTAGTTGTCGGATGAGGCACGCAGTGCTGTCTGCCCACCTAGCTTGAGAAGAGAAGAAGGGGCAAGTAGTTCAGTTTAGCCACTAGTATCTTTCAAGTTTGGTGAGGGCCCAACTAGCCAGTGAGGAGAAGACTGGCTGGGCCAAGGGCAGGCAATTATTTTGGGTTGAGGGCCACTTACCAAGTTTTGGTGAGGTGTTGAGGGCTGCAAGAGTAGCCCTGCCCCTTGACAAGTGCCCCACCAGAAGTCCTTGCCCTTGCCTCTGGAAGAGAGAGATTCCCATCTTGGAATGGGAGAAATTTTTTATATAGATAGATACAGATATAATTTTTTTTCCTGTGTGTGTCTGTGTGTACACACTAAAAATCAAACACCCATAATATATTTTAATGTAATTAAAAAAATATATATTTTTGTCCTGATTTGTGTGGTTGTGCTGTATATGTAGAAGTGATTGCATAATATCTCAAAATGCAGTCTTACTCCTGTATATTGTGTAGGGGGTGGGTGGGTGGTGTGGGGTTTGTGGGGGCCTGTAGTGTGTGTGGAGGGGGAGGGTCGCTGGGGATTGTGTGTGTGCATGTGTGGTGAGGTGTGTGCACAAAGCAGTGAACAGGTTTCCCCCAGTGCGTGTGGATACGGTGTTTGTGGAGTTTGTGATTGTGTGCGTGTGGGGAGGGTGTGGCTGTGAGGTTTGTGGGGTGTGCGTGGGAGCCTCCCTGCATGGGCCTCCCTGAGCTGGTCAGCCCTAGCTCACCCTGCACCCCACACTGCCCAGCTGTGGCACATCCCACCAGTCCTGGGCATGCAGCGGTAGCAGTGGGGACCAGTGTGCACAGCCACACACCGCACTGGCTCTGGGCTGAGCAGCAGCAGCTGGGCAGAAACTGTTGCCCTGCATTAGGGAATGCAGGTCTACCCCCCTGCCTTTGCTTCCACTGGGTAGTTTTTGGTACAGCTGCCCAGAGCATGTGTCATGCTGGGCTGCCTTACGGCTCCCTCACCGCCACTTCTGAGCCGCCCTGTAGCAGCTCTACGCTGTCACCGCCGCTGCTCTGGGCAACCCAGAGGCAGCGGTAATGGAGCTGCACGGAAGCCCACGCTCCAGAAGACTGCACCAAAATCTGCCTAGTGGCGACAAGGGGGAGGGGCTGCTTTCCCCTGCGCTGAGCAACAGTTTCTGTTCAGCTGCTGCTGCCCAAATCTGGTGCTGGGGCCCAGGCTCAGCAGCGGTGGCATGGGAGAGAAACCACTGCTCAGCACAGGGCACAAGTGGCCCCTTCCCGTCCTGCTGCCGGCACTTCCTGGTGCAGCCACTCGGAGCCCACGTGGGGCTGCCCTGCGTCTGTTCTTCATTGCCACCACTGCCCCGTGGGGCATCCCAGAAGCGGTAATGATGCTGCAGAGATGCAGGGCAGCCCTGTGCAGGCTCTGGGCACCTGCATCAGGAAGCACCAGTAGCAGGAGTGGGAAGAGCCACTTTTGCCCTGTGTTGTCCCATGCTAGCGCTGCTCAGCCGAGATGGGAAAGCGCAGGGCATGCAGGATTGGGGCTGTGCATACTGGTCCCCGCCTGTACCATGGGCTGGGGGAGAAGAGGGGTGGCCATGAGCGAGTGCACAGGAGTGCAGCGAGAGCTCAGTGTAAGTGTGGGGCCAGCACCAGTAGGCCCCAGAGCAGGGTGGCAGAAGTGCAGGGTCTCAGCCGTCACAGGTTCTGTGGAACCGAGCTGTCTCCTCCCTCTCCCTGCTGGCACAACTCAGCCTGCCACGTCACTCTGGGTCCCACTGGCACTGTCCCCGGGACACCACGCACCCGCTCACTCCCACCCCCCATGCTGTTGCTGCTTTCCCTACTTTCCTGCCTGCTGCTGCAGCAGGACTGTGGCACCATGTGGCTCCCAGCTGCATAGCTGCAACCACAGGACTTGGGAGGAGCTGGCCTGGCCCTGAGCACTGGGGCGATTGCCTGCGGTCCT